GGACAAAGTTGCACTTCACTCCTGACCTTCTCTGGCACTCCTGCAGTGAGAAGTACTGTAGTAAGGAGTGGCTTTTTACATGATTCCTTGAGTTATGTACATTAATATGAGATGGATCCTTGATGAAGTCAGCGTGCTTTGATTCCTAAGGTGTGGAGGGCATATAAACTGCATAAAGTGCACTGATCAAAAGCAGTAAGTCAAACTATGTGTACATGTTTGATATGAATGATGAGTGAAGCATTATTAATCTGTATTCCAATCAGTCTGCTCATCATTTAAATCAGGCCCCTACTGGTTAATGAAAGTGATGGCAGGGTGTGATAGCCATGCTCCATCTCATTACAAATCCCTGTTTATCCCCCAGGATATTTATCTACTTGAAATATCACATTAGTGACAGATATTTATCTATAGATTGATCTTCTGGGCTTGTTGACAGTGATATGGCGCAATTACTACCGCTGCCTGTTATATTTAAAGTTATATGCTAAAGTATGGTATCTGAAATGGACAAATAGAAAATTGTTTGCTTAGTATTTAGTGGCTAATTAGGAGGTCCCAGGTCCAAGGCTCAACAGAATGCAATTTAAAGTAAATAGTAATGTAAAGAATATATGTTTTGTTGTTAATGTGTGACAATGGGGGCAAAAGCAGGTAAATAAAAATGGTTTGAATTATTTCAATGTATTTTAATGTTTCCTAAATAAGGTTTTCAGGGTAACACATCCACAGGAACATTGTCAAAACTCACACCGGTGCTCAGTCATGAGCAGTGAGACAATGGAGGACGTTGTTGAGATACATTTTGACATTCAAAATGGTTTATTTTTTTCATTTTAATAGTATTTTGTGTGTCTCTACTGGTTTAGTTAGTCTTTTACCTTTTTGATATTAGCTTCTGTGATTGTCACCCCCTTTGTTTTCTCCCAGGAATTCAGGAAATCAAGTACAATTTTGAGGTACTTGTACTTCAGTATTTCCATTCAATGCTATTTTACACTTCCACCCCTACATTTCAGAGGGAAATATTGTACTTTCTACTACACTACATTTAATTGACAGCTTTACTGTACAGATTGTAACAGTTCACTGAAAAAGTTGAGTGTATGGGACGGTTCTGGGAAGCTGGAACACACTGATGATCCTCTGTGGAAACAAAACACCACTTACTGAGAGTGTGGCCACATGGTAGACCTGCCTGCACCCCTACTAACCACCAACTTCACTGGGTAAGACCTGATTAATGCCTAGGAAAGTCTGCTAAGAAGCACTGCTAATTAAGTGGCTATTTGTAAGGCTAGTGGGACTAGATAAACAATGATGAATCTGCCTGTAGGACCAGTGAGGTAAGCCTCTGTAGCTTAGCATCAGCTGCACTGTAGATGTAGACTGGTGTCACCTGTCAGAGGACTCAGATTTGTGACAGATACCTACTAATAACAGGTAAATCATTATTTAACACGAGTGTTGGGCCAACATAGGAACACTAACCAATCGTTTAACACATTTCTTGGTGGTCTGAAAGTTATAGATATGTTACTTTAAAGTAGAAGACACCAAAGGTTCACAGTGATTTTCTAGACAAACATTTTAAATATGCACGTTAGTTAGCACATTGGCCTTTGCTAATAGTAATGTGGTAAAAATGGTCTAATATTAATCCTCTTCAGGTATTAGTTGGCCTTAATAGTACCACTACACTGATTTTTAAAACTAATACCCTGAAATAACCATAACTATTGTGAGCAGATCAGTCTATTGTTAACATGTTATACCATATTTATGTTGTTGAAGTAGACTAACTCATTATTAGCCTCCTGTTATTGCCCCAATTTTACACTAAAATATTACCATAGTACTTATTGTCATTACCAAGACATTTCCCTGTTATTATTATTACTTTAATTTCGGTGTACCGATTAATTACTGTTATTCCCAAATTATTACTTCCCTATTGTACAGTGCTACCATTTAATGCTTCATATTGCCATTTAGATATGGCAACACACTTATAAGATGTTATTTTGAATGTGTGTATTAATTCTTTTCATGATCTTCATAAAGTCTTTATACAGACATGTGTAATAATCAGGGTCCTATGTTCAGTTTAATGAGGCATGGGGAGGATGGGGGTGAGGTGAGCCCAGTGTGTGTCATCTACTCACCTGCTCTCTGCTGCTGGATTACAAAGCCTTTAAATAGAACATGAACCCATGTGATGTCATCAGAGCTGCAGGTGAGCTGTTTCCTGCTGCGCGGGACACTGCGCAGGCTCACACCATCAGTAACTGTAACCCGTTGTGAACATGTTGCGTTATTAGAGGCAAATTATCTGTGACGGGCCGATTGTCCTCAATGCTGATGAGCCAGAGATGTCCAGACACGTACTGGCTGATAGATTCATTCTATTAATCCACCTTGGATGCTATGTGATCTGCCTCTGTCAAATCCTTGGGAAGGAATGAAACCAGAGCTGGCTGAGATGTTAATGATGGCTGAAACTGAGGGTTGGATAATCACCAGGGCCCATGACTGTTTCCTGAATTAATTCATCCACGCGTTGCTTCATTTTTTACTGGATTCCCAAAGTCCAGAATCAACCAGGCAGACCAGTGATAAATGAGCAAACAACAGAAACTCAAAGCCTTTGTGACTGTGCTGCCTTCACACAGGATGGTATTCACTTTCAGAAGAAACAATACTGACACAAAAACAGTCCTCAGAAGGAGCCAATGGGCTTGGAGCTGAGTCAGAAAGTGCTGAGAGACAAAGTAGAAAAGAAAGCTGCACTTCCACAAATATGCTGCAGGCTCAACTGGAACATGCTGAGTCCTGAAATAGGTTTAAAGACAAAATACACTTCTTTTTTTTTTTTTACCCAGTAAATTACTTCATTATAAGGGAAATCAGTGTTCTCCTTTCTTCATAAACACTTCACACTCCTACCACTCAGTTATGTGCTTTGAAGCCCTGGAGACAAGACTGAGAAAAAAAGACCCTTGTTTTTCGTTTTGTTTTTTTCTTTGACAAAATCCTCCAACAGCTCCTACATATGATATCACTGACAAGTTCTATCTTTAAGTTAGGCCATTGGTCAAACTGCATTTCCCTTCAGATCACAACCAACAGGACTCAGCTGAATTCAGCTCACATTATTACACATTGATATTAGAGAGCAGCTGTCAGATCGTTCCATCAGAGAGGAAAATAAAACACAGAGGAGGGTGTGCTGCTGTCATCCTGCTGCCTGTTTAATCAGGCCTCACTGCATCATAATAAAGTAATTACTCAGTATTTATGTATGTCATATTTAATCAGCAGCTTGAATTTCAGAGGTGCAGAAATGCAAATACAACACTGTTGACTGTGTCAGACTGCTACTGTGAGCCACACTGAACTCATGAACCTGATTAAATCAGGCAGTTTACTCTGTGCTGTTTGAATACTGGAAACCGTGTCTACTGAAAATACTGTGAGAGAGCAGCGCCGGCCCGAGCCACGCTCCAGGGGCTGCTGGGGATGTGGACAGTCTGGTCAGCCACTGCCCTAGTATCCCTGTGAATCAGGGATACAACAGGGGGGACAATGTGGACCCCTTGGTAGTGTGTTTGGACCACTTCCAGGCATGATAATAGCACAGCACACTAACCAAGAAGAGGCTGCACACCCAGCAGGGGATTTGGACAGTCAGCTGGAACCAGAGTGAGAATTATACAATGAAAATCTGGGGGGTCGACTTTTTCTCCAAGGCGAAAGGAAACCCAGTACAGTGCAGGGGCATGCTTCAGTGAACTGAAGTATTACAGTCCTTACAGTATCTTATTAACCTAAAGTTGTCAAATAAATTTAGTGGAGTAGAAAGTACAATATTTCCCTCTGAAATGTTGGAGTGGAAGTAAAATGGAGATACTCAAGTTAAGTACAATTATCTCCAAATTGTACTTAAGTACAGGACTTAGAGTAAATGTACTTCATTACTTTCCACCACTGCTAATACAATTACTGAACCTTCAAGAGACATGGATTTTAAAATTGTTCAGTGAACCAACAAGTGAAACTCCTGAATTCCTGAGTGACAAAGAGAGTGTCTATTATAGAAGCTAATATTAAAAAGGTGAAAGACTAACTAAACCACCACAGACACACAAAGACTATTAACATGAAATAATAAACTATATTGATCTGAAAGCTAATCCTCCATTGTCTCACTGCTCATGGCTGAGCACCAGTGTTTGCTAACATTAGGCCATATATGACATTTTATATTGGTAATGAAATGACAAGTTAACACTGGAATTAACAGGGCGTGCTACCAGCTAGCTAACATTAGTTAGCTAAACTGTAACTTAAGGCTAAAGTTACAAACTAGCTAAAATAAGGATGTAATCACGCAACACAATAAAACTAATGACTCCACATTAATGGGTCATGGCAGAGCAATTAACAAGAGGACCTCATAAAGAAACTGGTGAGAATATAGGGCAAAAATAAATACACAAACCTTTATAAAACATGTTACAGTGGTACCTTTGATTTAAATTATATTTTTACTATGACATCCTGTGAGCAAAACCCTGTTATGAATTCATACGTTCCACAAATACCAAAAGGACGATGTCGAAACTCCTCCACAAGACAACATACTGATCTATACTATGCATCTGGACTTATATTTCCCTTTGCTGCTGTGACACTTTGTCTTATCTGACAGTGGAGCTCTTCTAAAGTTTGTAGTAAAAAAAAAAACTAAAAAAAAACAAAAAAAAAAACCAAGATTCACTGTCACATACAACCAATGTGGTTCTGTAGTACAATTGGCCATTTATTTCTATCACAGTGATAGAATGATTTTTTTCAAATCTTAGGTATGACTGCCCCACTGTGGAAAAGAATGGAACTGCATCTACACATGGATTAAAAATGGGTTTCTGACACAGATAACATCAGGACTGAAACTGTGTTTATTTCATAAAAGATGAGAGCCAAGAAATAAAGGATTCGTAGCAAAGTTTTTATTGTCAATAGAAAATAAAGAGTTAAAAACTACAGTTTATTTGCAAAAGCACTGAGTAGAAGTCAGAACCATGACCATCTGATATTCAGGAGGAGTGACTGAAGAAAGAAAGACAACCAAGGAAGGAATGTTATACCCAAACAAAAGATGTAAGTCAATCACATTATCACTCTGTAAATATTTCACAGCCTGCACAAGGAACCTGCACGAGTGAAGTGGTGAGGAGATGCACCATGAATCAGGTGCTTTTGCATTTCAAAGAAACCTTGGGGTAAATAACATCAAGGTCTGTTTCATCATGATCATTCATCATGAACAGGAGCTGAACACCCGACATGCAGAAAAAGCAGCAGTTATCATTGAATCCCACTGTAGAGCGGATGCTTGCAAACAAATCACTAATCTAAACTTAATGTTCAATAACTTGCTTTTTCAGAGCTTTCAATCACATCTCACTGTCTTCAAGAGAATGGATTACAACATATCAGCTCTACGCAAAAACCACTCACAGCATCAACTTGGAAAAGGTCAAAAGTCATGCACCAGAGGAAGATCTAGAGGGATATTCACAACTGAGACCAGAGACCATCTTCAAGTAGAAACAGAGGTTACTGTCTCCAACATAGTCAAATTCTACACTGTTTGAAACTTCAAGTAAAACTCAGTGGTGGTTCAACATGTGATTTAACATGTGACTGTCAATGGAGGAGTTGCTCACAGTTCACACTCCCTCTGGGAGTATGATAAACACAAAAAAAATCATACGAAAGAAAGTCTGACCAGAGACAGAGGTCACCTGTGATGATGTTCATCTGTGTACCATAGTTTCTCTGGACAGTCAGTAACTGGGACTGAATCATTTATGAAAAAAAAACAAAAACAAAGTTAACATTAAGGAAAGTTAAAGTATATACTGCACTGATTCATTCACAGAGAGCAGAGAGATTCAGAATGAAGGCTGTGTGTTTAAAATCAAGCCTCAAACTTCTGACACCAAACAGAGATGAAGAGGACCCACGTCCCTTTAAATCCAAACTGATAGACAAAGAAGCTCAGAGGAAGAAGCTCCACTAAAGACCTGATCATTTCCTCTCATTAAGGATCTGTGACTGTCTGAGGTTAATATATAATCCACAGGCAGGAAGAGAGTCACCCAGTCACCGGCTCAGCTGTTCCTCAGGTACAGAACAGTAGCAGAGTAATAATGCCGTCCAGTCCTGATGGATCCAGGAACCTCTGACCATCTGGACATCTTCAGTTCTCTTCCTTGGTGATGTTGTGTCACTGGTCCTTCATGCTCAGCACTGGGTCCACCAGCTTGTTATGAACGTGCATTAAACCTATGATGAAAAATGACAATGTGTCAGGTCCAGACAACACGATGCTTGTTTACAAAACTCAAGTCAAGTCTTGCAGCAGTTTTGGAGTTAAAACGAGCTGTAAAGCTGCTCATATGTGAGAGCAGCAGGCCGTGAAAGCTGAGTGAGTTTCAGCAGTCGCACCTGTCATCCCATAGACCGCCATTCTAAATAGATGCTCTTTAAAAATGAACATAAAATGTATAATTTGCCATGAACATCATAAATTCTTGCACACATCTAGTTAGAGTAGTGTGGCACCAAACTTTCATGATATAATAAAGAAATAAAAATGGCACAACAGGAGAACAGAGATCCCTTGATTTGGATTAATCAAAGCGTTTTCAAAATTTTTGCCATGCACCACTCAGTAACTTAATGATCAACAAAATTCATCACTCTACTTTTTTCTAAATCAGTTAATTCAAAGCTCCTCTAGTATCAGTTCAAATGCTACTAAAATCATTAGTCACAGATGGTTCAGAATCTGGAGGGGCTAATTAAAATGAAGGCCATGGTGACGATTAACTGTTTTAGCATCATATGAACTGTACAAACAACATGCCCCCCCCTCAAACACGAGATCAAACTTCATTCAAATCAGTCTGGGTATTATCAGGTAATCCGTAATTCATTTGTAATTAAAAAAAAAAAAAAAAATCTATAAATCTGTTGTTTTGTTTCAGAAACCAAAACAGAAAAACTGTTCTTGGTGTCAGAATCAAAAAACAAACAAAAAAAAACAATCAAACTGATTCATTTTTGGCTTTTGGCAATTGAACCCAAAAACTGAATTCATATGATTTAATTTTTAATTCTAAACCAAAAGCAAAAAACAAAATCACATGGTCTATTCGTTTTTTTGTTTCCACAGAAAAAGCCAGAAAATCTACTTTTTAAAAATGGTCCAATTTTGTTTTTTTGCAATTTTTCGTTTTTTCATTTCTCATTTGGTCCCGTCAGTGACAGACAGGAAGAGTTTTAATAGAAAGAAGAGAGTTACTTTTCTTTTGTTTTTAAATGACAAAGGATTGACAGATGATCTGATGATACCCAGATTAAGATCTCTGACAGTGTTTCTGTGTCGACCTCAGCCATGGGATTTAAATCCTGGTGAATATTTAAACATTGACTGCATTCATTCTCATTAACCTGTGTTGTATTTCATTTACAGGTTACGAAAATGAAAGACACTCATTTCACCAGCAGAGCTGAGAACTGACGGTGGACCAAAAGGTTCTGGGTTCAGGGGAGGTTCCACAAAGGAACCTGTGCTGATGGGCTCTCCCCCACTTGAATATATATGTACATCGCATATACAGATTGCAGGATTTAATAGTTTATCATCAAATTTTCTAAATAAACCCCTCATATTTACTATCACAAAAGCCTATAACTGCATCAGCATCTGTTTGGAACAAGACCAGGACTCAGGTTTTCAGATGGACTCAGTGCAGCTGCAGTTTAATACGTCCACCTAGTTAAAACTAATGCAGTCTATTCCTATAGTCCTGCAATAAATGCCACCTCCATAAAGGTTGATTCACCTCTATGCTCATTTCTAAGGCCGCAGTTTCTGTTACAATACGCTGACGTGTCATTAATATTTTGTTCAGTTGCTCTCCACTGAGCAGAGTGAGGATGATGACGGTGGTACCTTTGAAGTATTTGACAGTTTTGACTCGGAGCTCCAGCGTAGCGTCCTCGTCACAGACAAAGATGGTGCGTGGGTGTTGCTGGAAGGCCGACACCGTCCACATGTGGTTCACTCCCTCCTCTATGGCTTTATACAGAGCGAAGGCTTTGTGTGCTCCCGTGATCAGAATCATCACCTGAGGAGGCGACAACAACACACTTACACTCTGCGCTGTGGATCCAGGAAGGTTAGTTACCGAGTCTAAGAGTCAGACGCGTTCTCCACTTCTGTCTCTGCCCTGACCTTCACTCTGACTTTAGACCAATCAGATCGAAGCTCTGCTGAAGCCGTCTGCAGTCCCCTTCATCTCAGAGATTCCCGGATATTTACAACTTTGTATCAGAGCAGCTGTTGTCTGGTGTGAAGTGCATCAACATTTGCTGCTGTAGCTGCTGGTTTGCTTCTCTTTTGGCCTGCTGTGTTTTAGCTGTGCGTTAGCTCATTTAATGGTCTGTTAACAGCTAACTGCACCAAACAGTTCATGTCACACTGCTATTTATTCATGTGCAATACCACCTTTACCAATATTAATATAACACACTCAACTCATATATGAAGCTTTTGTACATAATTTTACATTATTTATTAGAAATGATCTGTCTTTTTTTCCTATGCACCAACTGATGAGCAGCAGAGCTCACAATGACAATAATAATTCTGTTACTGGTCAGTAAAACTGACAGTTAAACAGTAAATCTGAAGGCCGTTTCACTTTCACAGACGCCTGTTCTTTCTCTGTAATATGCAGCTTTTTGAGTCAAGCCATGAAGTTTTTTTCACATATTTACATGTTTATCCTTAAATTCTGATGTTAATTTGATAGAGACGCACTGATTTAGCAGAGAGTTGTGCAGAAGGAATCAGGCTGTGGTGGCATCTAAACTGAAGACGTATGAGTGATTCTGATTGTTTCACTATTTAAGTGAATCAGCACAGAAACAGCAGTTTAACAGGGACGGCTACACCTTCACATATGTTCTGTAAATATATGATCCTATTGAAACTAACAGAAGTTTTAAGGTTTAGTACAAATCAATGTCGTGGTCGAGTCCAAGTCACCAAAGAAGAGTCCAGACCCCATTACCTGAGTTTCAAGATGAGTTCCAGAGCTCCACTCCGGCACCGTCAAAGGGCTGACATCCAAATAAAAAACTACATTAACACTAGTGACACAGCTGTCACCATTTCAAAGAGACACTATTTACTGTGTGAGACAACAGACAAACGAGCATGTTCGCAAGCACACTCACACCAAAACTAACAAAACAAGTCAAAGTCTTCGTCTCCAACTTCCCAGTCCGAATGCTGTCAGTGTCCAAGTCCGAGTCAGGTCACAAGTCCTGAAAATCAGGACTCCAGTCAGAGTCCTGGACTGGAGTCCTACAACACTGTTACAAACAGTACATATTAGGGCTGTCACTTTTTATTCGAAATTCGAACATTAGTTCGAACGTGGGGTGAAAAGTTCATACTGGAGCTGTAATGTCCTGTTGGAAATGTAGGCTGCAGTCTCTATAAGCGCATCAGACCATCGGCAGCTAATATAGTCAATAAAGAGAGAGCCGAACTTGATCCCGATCGTGTTGATAGACTTGTGTTTCTGGCAAATAATATGAGAAATTAGGTCTGACCGCTTGACTATTGGTTCCGTGTTTACCTTGCTACATTTTTAGTTCAAAGGTGTGGGAGCTCCCTCCTGTTGTCTGTCATACCGTGTGTTCTATGTTACTGTAGCACTTTGAGACTTTGAGTTTCACTGAATGAAAAGTGCAGTGGGGAGTGTTTTTTTTTTTAAAAACGTTGTTGTATTGAGGGCAAAGTAGAAGTGGCAGGCATTTGAATTCATTCAAATTAATTGCAGATGATTTCGAATTTGTTCAATCTTGATTTTTTGAAAAAGTGACAGCCCTGATACAGATATATAGTACAGAATCTTAAATTGGTCACATAGATGATGTCACTAGAGATCAATAAATGAACTGCCTTTGAGTCTGACCTCCTTGGCGTCCATGACGGTTCCTACACCCACAGTGAGAGCCATGGTGGGAACCTTAGAGAGGTCGTTACCAAAGAAACGAGCGTTGGCCACGATGGTGTCCTTAGCCAGGGTTTTCACTCTGGTCCTGGAGACGAGGCTGGAGCCCGGTTCGTTGAACGCAATGTGACCATCAGGACCGATTCCTACAGCAAGACCAGGAGAGGGAACCAGACAAAGAGATGAAGTTACCCTACAACATCTACAACAGACTGTTTTAGTAATGAGGCAGAACACCAGAACAGAAATCATGTGTCCGACCTCCTACGAACAACTCGATCCCTCCGGCCTCGGAGATCTTCTGCTCGAAGGCCTGACACTCTGTCTCCAGGTCGTCGGCGTTTCCGTCCAGGATGTGAGCGTTGGCTGGATCGATGTCGATGTGCTTGAAGAAGTTGTTCCACATGTAGGAGTGGTAGCTCTCTGGATGAGCACGTGGTAGACCTGGAGAACGAGAGGGTCACCTGATTTACCTGAGAGCTGCAGAGCCATGAATCCAGATACACACTGGCCCAAACACACTGCGACAAACCAGAGTTAAGCTGATATTCAGTTTCAGGTTCAGATCACTGAGTGCAGGTAAACTACTGAACAGTAAAGCATGTCAAAGTCCCGCAGTAAATCACTCTTTCATTAAAATCTTACAATAATCATCCCTGTCCAGAGCTAATTGATGCTAACTGATATGAACTGATGTAAAAGGATGCTGAAAAACTAGTCCATGCATTTGTTACTTCTAGACTGGTCTATTGTAACTCTTTATTATCAGGATTATTATCAATAACCCACAGAAAAGCTGATTCAAAATACTGCAGCTTCAGTACTGACAGGAACTAGAGAAGAGATCACATCTCTCCTGTGTTAGCTTTATCGGCTCCCTGTAAAATCCAGAATAGATTTTAAATCCTCCTCCTCACCTACAGAGCTATTATTAGTCAGACACCATCGTATGTTAAAGAGCTCATAGTTCCCTGTTATCCTAACAGAACGCTCTGCTCTCTAAGTACAGGTCTACTTGTGGTTTCTTAGAGTTTCTAAGACCAGAATGGGAGGTAGAGCCTTCAGCTATCAGGCTCCCCTCCTGTGGAACCAGCTCCCAGTCTGAGTCCAGGAGGCAGACTCCCTCTCTACAGTTAAGATCAGGCTTCAAGCTGTGCTCTTTGATAAAGCTTATGGTTAGAGCTGGTTCAGGTCAGTCCTTAACCATCCCTTAGTGATTCTGCTATAGACCCAGACTGCTGGGGGAACTCATGACGTTCCTTCTTGTTAAAGGGAGTTTCTCTTCCCCACAGTCACCCGGTGCTGCATCTGACAGTGTAAGAGGAGATGAGCTGGTCAACTGTATAACTGAGTCAGCCTTAAACTTACCAACATATTCATCCATGTTGAAGGTTTTCACATATTTGAATGAAATATCTCCACTTCTGTAGTATTCTATTAACTTCTGGTAACAGCCATAAGGAGTGCTCCCTGAGAGAAATGAGACATGTTAACACACTCCGCTTAATACTGATGACCTCTGAGCCTGGAGAGCGCTGTCTGTGTGATGGTGCTCACCTGTAGGTAAACCGAGAGTGAAGTATCTGTCTGCTGAAGGCCTGAACTGGATGATTTTGTTGCGGATGTATTTAGCTGCCCACTCACTGGCCAGGTCATACTCGTCCAGGATGACCAGCCTCATCGTGTTGGATTTCTACTGAAATAACAACAATGTAAAAACAATGACAGTCACCTGGATTTTACTGACGCCATGGAAACCTGATGGACATAAAGTGAGACAAAACCACGCCAAACTCAATTCAAAAACTGGCTAATTTTAATGTGGCTGCTTATCATAGTTGTTACTTTACAATTAGTCACTTATTTAAAAGTATCCTCTCAAATACAGGTTTGTCTGAAAAGACCGGCTGTTATCTACCGCTGAGGCAGAGACAGATGGCTCCTGACAGTTAACACTGTCCATAAACAGGACTCTGCCAGGTAAACTGCCAGATTTTTCCATTATGTTCGGTGAGGCAGTGGCTAATGTTAGCAAGAGAGGCAACTTCAACAGGAGTGGATGCCTCTGAGTTTCGTTGAATGTACACTTACTGCGACACGTCACTGAACTGACGGTCAGTAGTTAACCATAAACTAGTTAACACGAACAACAGTTTAACAAAGACATGTTTTTACCTGCCGGAACAATCGGTTTGTCGGGGAGGAATCACGTGTCACGCGACTGTTCCGTCACATGATCAAATGTCGGTCAAGTGATTTCACCACAGTCCTTGTGCACTTATGGTACGGGTGCTGGAAGCGCCCTGAAGGATGTGTACAGACTGAGTGAAAAAGGTTATTTTAAATATTATAATGAAATATGTAAACTCGGTTTCCTGAATATGGCTCCTGTCTGACAATCAGTTTGCTGAAAACAAAAAAAACATGAATTAAATAATAAAGTTCCTCCGTAAACATGGAAAATTCCCTATGTAATTCCCTTAATAGATTCGCTAAAATGTTCAAAAGATTCCTATTCAGAATAAACAGTTGTATGTTGTATGACCATATACATCCATACTAAAACTTGAATCATTTCCTCATATTAAAAGACTGATAAAAAACCTTTCAGTTTCACCTTTCATAATTACAGGGAAAAACACTCCTGACGTCATACACAGAACATCTTACATTTTTCTACGTGCATCTTAAAGTCGTCCAGGTGTGCACATGTAACATCGGACTACACCACAGTGTCTGCGCTGTCCTCAGCACCTGTGCACATTGTGATCGAGACACTTTGAAAAAACAACATATCTTCTCATGTTAAGTTGAATCTAAAATATTTACATTTACATTTACAGTTCATAGTGTTGATGTATGTTCTACGTGTCCTCCTTTCTTTCACTTCTGTCTTCATGTATGAACAACAGCTGTGATATCTGTGGACATCAGTTATCAGATGCAGAAACCCGGACGTCCCCTCCTCAGCTGAGCTGCCTTTAGTGCAGATATCACCACCGCAACGTTTCATCAAGCTCTCATCCAACTACACAAACAGCAGCTGGAGCCCTCTACTGGTCCTGGACTGCAATAACAGCCAATTCATTACTTAAGTTCCCTCAAAATGTAACTACTCTGTAGTTTACATTGACTTTGACACAACACAACACAACACACAGTGGAGTGATGTGATGTTCAACAATGCCCTGGTTAACTCTCCAATGTATCAGCAGTGCTCTGCTTCATGAGGTCTCTCTCAGCTGAGCCATTGGATGAGTGGTGGTATGGTGCTGTCAGGTGACATGTGTAATTCCATTTCAACTCAGAAACTCTGAGTGCCACATTTTGTACAGGATGGCAGATATTTGACAGGGAAAATAAGAAAAACATGTTGTGCCCGTCATGGAAATGTTATTTCGCAGGCTCCTGTTGAAGAAATTCACTCAAGTCCTTGGTTCCAAGTTTGCTGTAGTGATGTGAGTTTATTGGTATTCTAGAATACGGTGAGCCAACTGACACAGAGCGGGTCTGAGGCAACAGACTGACCCAGAACGAAGAGCAAGGAGACAGTTATACAGTGGATGAAAAAGGGGGATGGAGAGGCCTTACAGTGTAACACCTAGAGTAAATTTACCAGGGGGCCAGGAAGGGCCCCTTGATTGAATCAGCTTGGCCACAGGTAAAGGTGTTGATAAGACAGTGATGTACTGGAGAGGACAGAGGGAAGCAGAGAGGGTGTTGTACTGACACAGATGGTTGTTGATAATAAAACAGGAGGGGGTACTGTCATCAAGTGAGTAGTATTTTCTTGATCGAAAGATCAAGGGGCCAACCCAGTAGGGTTATAGAATTATTCCCAGGTGTTATTCAATCATCAGGTTTTCACTCAGGAACGTGTATTGTCTTTCTCACTTCCAAAGGTAGGCATCTGATTATCAGAAATGGGACGCCTTCATGGTTGTATCCTTCCGCCACCCGGCCTCGTTGCAGGAAATATGGTCACAATCTCCCCTTCCTGAGTGACTACATTTTTGCAGAACATTATGATGTCACAGTGAAGTTGACCTTTGACCTTTTGGATATAAAATATCATCACTTCATTTTATCCTTAGAGACATTTGAGTTAAATTGTGTTATAATTAGTGAATGCATTTGTGAGTTTTTGCCAAAAACTTCTTTGTGAGGTCAGAGTGACCTTTAACCTTTGTTCACCAAAATCTAGTCAGTTCATCCTTTAGTCCAAGTGAATGTTTGTGTCAAATCTGAAGAAATTCCCTGAAGGTGTGACTGAGATATAACGTTCACGAGAATAGGACCGACAACCTGAAAACATACTGGGCTCCAGTCTGGGCTGTCACCAGCGCAGAGGCATAAAAAAGATCAGTCCTCTCTTTCTCAGTCATGGGACCACAGCAAGGACTGAAGGGTGCTAGGTGCACTTTATGGTGGTCTTACTACAGTGTAGGCACATCTGATCATGAACCATTTATGTGCCAATGTACTGCTGTTAAACAGCTACTCTATTAATCCTTGTGGATGTTCCAACATCTAATTATAACCCCTACTCTTGAGTAACTGTCTTCAGAAAGTTACATGAAGTAGAAAATGAACCAAACCTCGCTGCTGGACTAGATTGACACCCCCCCCCCACTCAGAGAGCAAACAGTGACTCAGATCTTAAGATGTGCCAAAGTTTGACTGCTGGAGAAGAGCTGAGCTGGAAATGTTCACCGGTATCCCCACTGTTGAACACCATGTTTCCCTGTCTCAATGAGGACTTCACCATGTCTCTGAGTGTGGTCACAAGGAACAACTACAAAGACTGTGAAGGAGTTTTTCTCACTTCTAATATTCATCTTATTTTTTTTAGGCGTAACTCAGACTCCACCAGTTCAGGTCATTACAACACTGTTAAGACAATGGTTCACAGCTTAGCTTCTTTTTATGATGGATCTAGATGTATCTTTATCCTCTGTAGCTAGCGTAATAAAGGTCTTATATGTATATCTATATATCTCAGGATGTAGAGAGAAGCATAACGTCAGAATACTGCACAAACACAGTTCTAGTCATGGATGAGTGAAGCAGGGGAAATGAATAAACATAATATTAATTAAGTAAGAACATGTGACAGAGACCAGGCTTAAGAGACCAATAGTCTTCACATATACTGTAATGCATCTTTACATGGTGCCACTGCTACTTTTATGTAAGTGAAGGATCGTCTTTCACCACTGCTGTGAGTGTGTGGTTGACCTGCACTTATCAGCCGACCTTTGACCTTTGCCCTGTACTCTCCTTTTTTCTGAGCTCTGCCTCATCTTCAGGAGACAAAGACACAACAGCCAGCACAGTTGTGTTTAAAATTTAATATTGTAACATACTGCTTATGAGGAAAGATGTACAATTCAATTTTGGATGTATCAGAGTCATTGTTTTGGGAGCAGTTGGTTTGTATCCGAGCTGTGGAGTGGAACTGTCAGAGGTAGAAGTGTGAGGGTAAGACTTGTCCTAGATTTTTCTCTGAAGCTGAACATAATGGTTATGGTCCCAGGTGGTTACTGGAGACAGGAGGCTGGATACACTAGATCAAACTGTTAAAATGTCCAGTTCACTCCTTCTTCTTGTAGTCCTCCAGGTGGGCCAGGATCCATCCAGATGGTCCCAGGATGGCCAAGGCGAACATACTCATTCCAATGGTGGTTTCCTGGACAACAGACAGTGAGAGAGAGAGGACATTTAGTCAGCTGGCGGCCAATCAGCATCTTCACTTCTGTGTAAAAACATCAGGTAACGTGTTGATACTGCTGGCGCAGGTTGGAATTCGATGCTCATATCACATTCACAGACATGAGATTCACTGAGCTCTGACTCAACTCTCCTCAGCTTCAGGCTTTTCACTGGTTCACATATAAACCTGAACTACACTTCAAATACTAGGCAGTAAAATGACTGAGTAGTGTTGTACTGACTGATTGCACCAGAAATATATGTGGTTCAGATTTTTCCCTGAATCTAAATGTATTCATCATTTTGTTTTACTAGAGCCTCAAACTGTTATATGGTGTCACATGAAAGTTATTGTACATAAAATGAAAATGTGGTATACATTTAAGTAACTAAGTCACATTGTCATAACACATTACCATTACTGTATTGAGATCTAACATTTCCTTTTGCATATTCATTAAATTGTGTATTGTTTTTTGTGTCTCCACACAACTGCCCATATAAATATCACTATTTCATGTCACACCATATGATATCCATCTGTGGGACAAAATCTCTTTATAATCTCCTTTGTGAAAGATTCCTGGGACAGTCACAACACGAGCTTTATCATGTCTGATTGAAAATTGTGAATAATGGGAACAATGTGAATACGTTTTGACAGATTTTTTGTCGTTATGAGGTTCCCCAAGCTAAAATTGACTTAATCACATAGTTCTAAAGGACCTGCACAATAATAAACAGGAGCCTACACTGCTAATGCCAACATTTACATTAATACATCAGTAATCGTGTGTCAAATGTTACTCATCTAATACCCACTTAAGAGTAGAGTAAAATCAGTTTTGAGACAAAAGTGTTTAAAAAACAAAATACACTTGTGTGCTTTCTGAACCGAGACTGGTCCTCGAGGTTTATCATGATTCAGCACTACAGGCTTCCAGTTTGATGAAAGATGCCAAATTAAATCTTTTTTACAATAGCTGGACGACAGGAGGATTATTAGATTAACATCAGTGCACCAAATAAACTGACAACCGAGTGTAAATTTATTGAAATAAATCGAGAAGGAAGTATTTTGTATCTGTGTGTATTCACTGATGTCCTGCTTTGTTGGCTGCATGTATCAAGGACATTGCGGTATAACGACACTTTGAAAAGTTACTAAGGTTTTTCACACATGTATGTGCAACTGTCCCTGAAATCTGTGCCATTACAACGACAATTTGACATGTTACTCCCACAGAGACAGCGCACTCAGACATAGAACGGCTAACATCTGTTAGCATGGGCCTAGCTAACGACGGAAGCGGTTTAGGGGGAGCGGAGAATTTAAAATACTTCAGACATGTAACGATTTAAGTTCAGAACCTTAAGTTAATTAGATGCAATGGTTTATAAATCAAAATACACGGGTTTAGCGCCCGCTGACTTCAGATACCAGTTTTGACCTCGTCAACCAAGGACAAGCTGCTAGCTTCGTGAGTCAGTTAGCATGGGACCAAGGTGGCGGAAAGATTACAGCAGACTTACGACTGGGCCGATCTTTTCCTTGGCCGGTCTGGTGTAGATACTGGCTCTCTGGGAGACAGTCTGTTGCCGCAGGGCAGGGGCAGCACGGCTGGCGATGGTCCTCAGGAACCCCGGCATGTTTATCTGCTACGATGAAGAGATGTCTTCTCGACTGAAAGAGCTGCTATGGCGTCAAGAGGAAGTGATTCAATGCAAAGATCACTTTTCGTCATAGCCTCATCGAAGACTACTAGCGCCACCTGGCGACCTGGAGGACGATGTTCGTGGAGGAATTATGCTCTTCAGGAAAGCATTAGATTAGCTTGTTTCACTCACTGTGGCTTAAATATAACACACAGACTTCAGACAGACGTCAAAATTCATGCGTTGCACAAAGCAGATTAGTTCTCGACTATCTTAAGCCAGACTGTGGTA